TGTATGTATATGTATATATATATATATGTATGTATATGTATATATATATATATGTATGTATATATATATGTATACAAAAAAAATTCCTACCTTTTTATGCCTTAAGAAAATCAAAAAGGGATCATAATTCATGCATGAAAGGGTTAAGCTATAGGGAAAATGCATTTTTGACACCTTGTTACTGTATTGGCAACTAACAGACAGTTTTTGCTGTCTGTCATTTTATGAAAACATTAAATCGAATTGATCACAGGCAAAATAGCAAGTAATGCTTTTTACTGTTACCTCGGATAACAGTAAAAAGCTCCAATCAATCATTCAATCAGGAAATTAAATGCATTTTTACCAAAATCACTGGTGATGCAGAAATTGTTCCCCCTAACAATCATGAATTTAACTGACACAGACAAACTAACACCACTAGGCTGGAGGAGACGCCATGTTTATCTTGCCACCACATGAATATAAGGGAGGAGGAAAACCTTTTATTAAATGCCCTGTAAAAGAAGAGCAGACCAACCTCTTTTTGGCCACCAAGCATCTAAAACCACCCTTAGGTTGATGAAGCGTTACAAGAAAAAACCCATTTCAAACAAACATGTTGGATTTTCAGAGACTTTAACTGGGGTGCAGGTGGGGTTAGCCATCCCATCACGTAAGGTGGGGGACTCGTGATGCTGTGGGTCTGTTACTTCTGTTGCTCCAGTTTCCTGGGAACCCGAATGGATGTCATTGTCAGAACGTGTGCCATGGTGAACGCTGAATTACACCGAGATTCAAATTAAGTCCAGTCAGCAGCTGATGAGCCTCGTCACAGTTATCTGTCTAGAATCTTTAAGTAGCTTTTAATGACATTATTATTTTTTTAATAATCTCACTGATACTGAAAATACATAACTTTCACGCATGATCTGAGTAACAACTTCCGCACTGAAGAGTGGTGTGACTCTTTAGTGACACCACTCTTCACTAACTATGCACTCAATACTGACGCTGTGAGTGCACAAATTGGAATTACGAAAGAAATCTGGATTTTCAGTAAAACGTTACTGAGCTAGGATGAGGTGATTTTTCCACTATATTGAAATCAATGTATTTTTGCAAAACTGCATTTTAAACACACTCCGCATTAGACGAGTCATGTGATCAATAACCGGATGTTACTGCTGACGGAAAATACGAAAAGGAGGACAAGAGTGATAGGAGGATGACGGCGAGGCATGTTTTGTTAATGACTTATTGCGGGAACAAACTTATTCGTGTGTGATTTTGATTGTGTTTCCCATTTAACAGAAATACTGCAGTTGCAAAATGTCATTTTTTTTCAACATTAGCAGAATATCGAGTAAGTTTTGCGCACATTTGCGATGGGAACGCAGCTTTTGTTTGGTCGTTTGTCAAACATTCCTCTTCCCTAGTTCCCATTCACTGTTGGGATAGGCTAAAGTATCAACACTATCCTAAGCAGGGTTAAGTTGTGTGATGCTCTGCCATGTTTGCTTTAGCCACCCCTTTCCCCAGCTCCCTTTCCTTCATCCCTGCACCTCTAAAGCCGGGTCCCACCACTGAACATCCCTCATTGACGCACCATTCAAAGATCTCTGTGGAGTTGAGGTTTTAGACCGCAGCCCTTCCTGTGAACATGTCGCTCTCTGAATCAGGTCTGTCCTCTCCAGAGCTCCAGCAATAGCTTTTCCCCACCTTCACTCTCGCAGCATTTTGCTGCAGGAGCAAAGCTTTTAGGACCCAGGAAATGATCGATCTTACCGATCAGCTTTTTTTTTTTTTTTGTTGTTGCCAAGCTTCGATCACAGGACTTTAAATCTCAACTCTCCGTCACCTAAACAGGTTTTGGGAGAGAACACCAGGCAGTACAGCAATGTGGTTTCCTACCTGCTTTCACAGGCCTTCTTGTGATGCCGAATAAAGAAACTCGGCTCTTTTTCCAACATGACACGCCACTTGTTGGCAACAAAAGAGGAGACTAAACACACATTAGGCTTAATTTGCCAATTAGTTTAGCTAGATGTGCGAGAGTATGCATGAGTGATTACAGATGTATTTGTAGTATGGCAAAGGATGCATGTAGTAAAAAGGAATGCTAATGTTGGACCGTTCAATTTGCCTAACAGAGAATAATTATTTACAGTTTAAGCGACAAACTGAGAGCAGGTTTTGGTGTTCAAAAGGTTCAGGTAAATAACTAAAGGCCCTCTCTAACTTCTCCCTGTGAGGAATAAACTTTTTCTCGACAGCTGCTTCTCCCGCTGATTCATCACTTCATCTCCAATTACGTCTATGAAAACATTTCAGCTTGCTTGTCCTGCAGTTTAAAGAGAAGCTTCCTGTCTGCTGTAGAATTATTTCAATCACTTTGAGTTGTAACTTCCCACCGGCTAACTTTAGGCCTGAGCAGGAACTGAGGAGGACCCGGTTCCTTCAAAACATAACTCACTGATATACAACATGTTTGCAGCCCCCTGACCCACCCACCCACCCACCCAGCGCCCCAACGCTCAGGACAGACAGTCCGGTCCGTGTGTGTGCACGCGCGTGTGTGCATCGCCAGACCCTGACATGGCTCATGTTTCTCACCGCAGCTTGTCAGAGCCCAGCTTGGAGCAGCAGGCACCAGTCAGGCTACATCTAATGCACACATCCAAAGCTGACATGGGGACAGCTGACAGGTTTCCACCCAGGACAGAAGCTGCGTTTTGGGGTTTCAGCTGGAGATAAAGGAGCGTGCTACCATGTCGCTTCGAACCTTTTCGTGGTCCGGGACGCCTGAGGAACGCCTCCTTACTCAGATTCATTAATGGAATACCGCTCTACAGAACGCAACTTTTTAACTTTGTCTTGGTCAAGGGGAGCGTGTAGGACATAGCTTTTTTTTTTTTAAGTGTAAGTAGTTGCCAAAAGAGATATTGACAGATTTGTGTGACTGTTTTGGCTCCTGAGTAAGCTCTTCCATTACAGTTACAGTTACAGGAAGTAGTTTAATTTCTGGGCGAGCCGCTCCGCCTGTAGCCGCATCAGCTTGGCCGTATCTCATAGAGGAGTAGCGAGCGTCGGCCTCCACCATGATGATCAAGGAGGACAAAGAGGCCTCGCTACGGCGGGACCCTGACCTGAGGGGGGAGCTGGCTTTTCTGGCCAGGGGGTGTGACTTTGTCCTGCCCTCACGGTTCAAAAAGAGGCTCAAGTCTTTCCAGCAGCAACAGGTCAGTCGGTTCAGCAGTCGGCATGAACACTGCGCAATTGTGCAGAGAGAATGCATGGAGGTTGGACTGTCGTCCATTTAATCGTCTATTCGTCACGTAAAACCCAGACCTGGTGGTGCATTAAAGACACACAGATACGGTAGTCGCGCCTTGTTGCTCTTAGACACAGAGCTACATGCCATGGACGGCAAAACTATTTTGAGACAGGTATTGGTGGTGTATTTATAGCGCAGGGGGTTGCAGGAATAGAGCGATAGAATGAACACTTTGAAGGGAAGCACAGCTCCAGCTGTCCTGCTCAATACATGTGGGACGGAGGCCCAAGAGAGGACTCCACCGAGGTCTGCCTGGAGATTTCATAAGCAGCAGAGTCCGTAACTAACACTGTGAGATCTGTATCTTATCATTCCGCCCTGGGTGCACCATGTTCTCTTACCACCAGTATGAGGACTGAAAGACCTAGTGTAAATTAGGTCTTTTACTCATAAATTAAATCCTACATAATGCTCTCCTAAGAACTGCTCTACTTATGTTTGGCAGGCAGAGGATAAAATGTGTTTTCTTGATTTAAACTTTTGTGAGGCAACAGATGGCGAATAATTAGGGCGCCCATTGTGTCAATCAGATTAGTCTATTAATTTTTTTTTCTCTTGTTCACGTTGAAATGTTCACAGAACAGACAACAGAGGAATTTCAACATATTCTCTAACTTGTATGTGATGTTTACTAAACTCAAAAGTGGTGTTGCCTTTATAGACTGTAAATGGTGGGAGTTCTTAGTTTATCCATTTAATAAGTCAATCAGTTGATTTAATTGCTTAATTTTTCTTCAATATTTGCCCAGCTGAGTGCCAATCTCTGGAGGACCAACTAAATTTTGACTGATTAGTGCAGGTCTGCATTTTCACGTCGGCTCCTAAAAAAGAAATACCTTCATTTTTCTTAACAGCTGTCTGTTTTCTGTTGCTTTATTGGAGTTTGAGAATTTGCAGTCAGGAAACGTCTGCCCTGCATTATGTTGACTTCTGCAGTGTTGCACCACTTGGAACTGTTCCTGCCAACGCCACAGTGAAAATGTTTTGCGGCGACTAAGCGATTGCCAAACAAGTTTGGTAGATGTTTATTATTATTGTTCACTGGGAATTTCCATGTGTGTCACAGGCCCGAGATTGTTGTGCTTCCTTACGATTCATCAATGCTTTCGCTTCTTGAAGCTAATTCCTGCCTCAATGTGGTGTTACTTTTCAAAGACTCCGGTTTTTCCATTAAAAAAAGATCCAAAATATGAACACCACATGTGACATGCGTAGAGTCCTAAGCCTTTGTCCCCATGCCTGATTTTCTCTTAATCTCCGTAGCTCCAGCCCAAACTGGAAAAGAAGCCAGGAACGCCTCCTCCAGCGCCGCCCGCAACCGCAGCTTCTCCACCCCCCACGCCACGTTCGCCAAGCCCTCCTCCAGCGCCGGTGATCATCACTCCCCCTCCTCCTGCCGTTAACATTCCCAGGTTCTACTACCCTCGTGGGCTCCCTGCCCCGGGCCCGACTGCCAACCACGACGCAACCATCGCTGCCATAGAGACGGCCTTCGCTGAGTTCGAGGAGGACAAGGCTGACATTTATGAGATGGGCAAGATTGCGAAGGTCAGTAAGTTATGAGCAGTTTAAGTTATGCTGCTTTATGGAAGAAAAAAAGCAACTCAAAAAAGAAAAAGAAAAAAAAAATACTTCATCCAGAATGATAAACTTTGTGCTATTTTCCCCAAAGAAGAAAGGGAAAATATTTCTGTTTTAAGGTCAGGAGCCAATTTTTTTGGTCATGGTTCTACTAAATATAAATTCTCTAGAGCTGCAAAATCTACACAACCCCTTTCAAAAGCATGTCAACAAATTTCTAACGGGCGTTAGAAAAAAAGAGTAATTATTTTTCCTTTAATTCCACTTGTATGAAAAATGAAGAAAAAATAACATCAGTTAGTTTATGACCTAATAAAATGGTAAACAAAAAAAGTAAGTTCTAGCACGATCGTTGTAATTCTCTCGTGGAAATTTTGCAAAATTGCGTAATAAACGGAAAATTGCTTACACTTGCCTTTTTAATTATTATTATTTTTAGTAAGAAATAATTCAAAACCTAATATTCTTTGCTATTCTTGGTGGCATAATGAGCCAGTGTGGAGGCCTGTTCTACGTCGTGGAAACATATACTATTTCTATTACTTATTTATTTTTTTATTTTTTGCCAACAAACGTGTTTTTTTGTTGTACAGTAGTGACTGGTTTTGTCTGTGTCTCCATTTAGGTGTGTGGATGTCCGCTTTACTGGAAGGCAGCCATGTTCTATGCTGCTGGTGGTGAGAGGACGGGCTTTGTGTCGGTTCACTCATTTGTTGCAACATGGAGGAAGTAAGGATGCCAGGTTTTAGTTCTTCAGGTTTTTTTTTTTTTAGTTTTTTTTATCAGAATCCTCAACATTTCAACTCCCCTCAGGTTCTGAAATCAGATCTCCTCCCAACATACTCCTGTCTTCTCTTCTGCAGGTTGCTGCACAGTTGCCACGATGATTCATCGAGGTTTATTTATCTGCTATCTAAACCTGGGCTTACGTATTTGGAACAGGAAGACTTCATTCCTCTTCTCCAAGTAGGTGCCATCTAAACTCTTGCTTTTGTTACACAGTCTAGTGCTGCGGTGTGTTTCTTCAAAGCATGAAACGTCTCTTCTTTCTATAACTGTTTATCGTTGGCTTATAGGACATTGTGGACACGCACCCTGGACTCACGTTTTTGAAGGATGCCCCTGAATTCCACTCGCGCTACATTACTACGGTAAATGACCAAAAATAATGGAAAGATAAATGAGTTATTATTCAGATTGTGTTTTGGTATTTACTTTAAGTCAGAAAGCTTTTTCGTAAAGCTTTCTGATTGTTAGGCAAATTCTCATGTCCTTCCTCCGTTTCTTCCTGTTTTTCTTTTTTTTTTTTTTGATTGATAAAATATCTGCCACTTATTCACAGTGCAATTTAGCGTACTGTATTTTAAAATCAGCATTAAGGACCACAAATCCTTAAGAACTGAGTCAGGAACAGTCTGAATTATTGTAGGAAGAAATCTGTAGCAACAATTTAAAAAGCAAAAAGTGAAACATATGTTTCATAATCACTTTTTTTATTACTTTATATGATGAGTAGCTGTACTGTTGGTGGTTTTGCTTTAACATTTTTTTTCACACAAAATAAATATACTTCAGTTAAATTAGGGTCGAATTTCTCACAATTTTTGAGCGAGAGGGTTAGGAGTGCCAATAAACGTGACTAAGAGAGTAGCAGTGAGCATTCTGTGAAGAATCCACTCATTTTACATTTTAAGAACACAACGTGGTTGAGATGATGACAGTTGCCGCTTATCCTCTAAGTTACGGCGTTACGGTGTTTCATTTTAATAAAATTGCGTTTCTAATACCAGTAAGCTTGTCCTCCGTTGCCGGCAGAGCTGTTCCTGTGAACATCTGCTGTGTAACATTAGACGGACGCATCAACAGGAGCGGCTGCGTCACGTGCCTCTGAAGTCGACGGTTTTGCTGCGTCGAAGCGCGGAGCCGCGTCGAGTGCGTCAGCGTGCCGTGACGTCACGGAAACGATGCCGCCCGCGGTCCCATTTTTCAGCCGAGACCGCCGGTCCGCCACATGTCCATTTTAAGACCATTCTAGTGCATCAGCTGATCCAGTTCTGTAGAAGACATTAGCAGCTCTGGGAGGTCGATTTACCAGGAAATGATTGCTGAGCCTCTCTTTGTTGAGCTAAGTGTGAGCTGAACCCCTGGTTTGAACTGTGAGCTGATCTCCTGTCCGACGTGGAGTGGGAACCATCTTTAAAGCAATGTGATTTTTTTATTTTTATTTTTTGCATTTATTTTCCCATTAAAAATTTATGTAGATGCTTAATTTTTTTTTTATTATTCCCATCGTTTCATTGTTGAAATTAATTCCCCGGTGAAAGCAAATAAAATTGTCACTTTCATATGTGTAATTTAATGGAATATATTTTATCCTTTTGGGGCCATTCTTTGTTTGCCTAAAAGATTCTCGTCATCAGCATCGGCAACAAAAGCACCAATAACTGAATATTATATATTATATCCAGCGTTATGCTTGTATAACAATTCGAACAGTTTTATGTGTGGATATTGACTAAGTTCAATATTCAAGTGATTCCACAGTTTGACACACAAAAAATATTTTCTGGTTGTTCTGTATTGGCATATTTTAAACATTTGCTCCTTAATCTTACACAATTTTCAAATGTTTTCCTCTAATTGTTTTTGTAAAGAATTACAGCAGTCTGTAGTTTCACCGTGCCGATTAACTTTAATGACTTAGATTTAACAAACAGAGTGTTTCCGGTGAATTTACTCGTCTTTCCCCCCTGCCCGCCGCAGGTCATCCAGCGGATATTTTATGTGGTGAACCGCTCCTGGACGGGGCACGTCACCATGACAGAGCTGCGCAGGAGCAACTTCCTGCAGACTCTGGCCCTCCTGGAAGAAGAGGACGACATCAACCAGATCACCGACTACTTCTCCTACGAACACTTCTACGTCATCTACTGCAAGTTCTGGGAGCTGGACACCGACCACGACCTCTACATTGACCCCAAGGACCTGTCGAGATACAATGACCACGGTAAGAACAGCTTGGAAGTTAAACACAGCGTTCTCTTATGACGCGTCCAATCACATTTGTTCATTATCCCTCCCGTTATATTCTCACCCTTCTGACAGCGTCCTCAAACAGAATCATCGACAGGTTGTTTTCCGGTGCTGTAACCCGGTGAGTGGAAACACACAGAGTGGAGCTGATTGCTTCAACGCCAACGTGGCGATCGATGCAAACGGCTCTGTCTGTTTCGTCTCCAGGGGCAACGCCGTGCAGAGAGAAGGCAGGATGAGCTACGCTGAGTTTGTCTGGTTCCTTTTATCTGAGGAAGACAAGAAAAACCCAACCAGGTATTGCGCAGCTGCTCGGATATCCGTGACTCGCCATCTGTTGTGCGAGTCCGCAGTCGCTCTCAGAAATGCCAACGACCCGTCTCCCATTTGTCTCGGCAGCATAGAGTACTGGTATCGCTGCATGGACGTCGACGGCGACGGCGTTCTCTCCATGTTTGAGCTGGAATACTTTTATGAGGAGCAGTGCGAGAGGATGGAGAGGATGGGCATCGAGCCGCTGCCCTTCCAGGATTTGCTCTGCCAAATGCTTGACTTGGTCAAGCCCGAGAATCCAGGTTAAATATCGTTTAACTTTCTTCACACACTGATTCTCCGCTCGCATTAAACACACGAATGCCTTTCCTCCAGGCAAGATAACCCTGAGCGATCTGAAGCGCTGCCGGATGGCTCACATATTCTTCGACACATTCTTCAATCTGGAGAAATACCTGGACCACGAGCAGAGAGATCCATTTGCAGTGCAAAAGGTGCCGACTTGTGTTTCTTGTGTGCAACAGGATTTCAAATAAAATCTCAGGACCGAACGTAACAATAAAAATCTGTGTTTTACTAGAGTTGATTGAAATTTTACCTACATTTTCTGACGGAAGGGTTCTCTTCTTCTATCTCTGAATAATAGGTTTCTGGATTTTCAGTAATATAACTGATAATAAATAATAAATATAAGTAAATAACTCTTACAGCATCTATCAGATTAATCTTTTTATTATTTACCCTTACAAGACTCTTGAAAATTCCCTAGCTGTATTTATTTTGTGGCTGTAGAAAAACATTAAACAATAATAATAATAATAAGAAATGTGTTTCAGGACATTGACAGTGAAGGTCCGGAGCCGTCCGACTGGGACAAATATGCTGCAGAGGAATATGAGATACTGGTAGCAGAGGAAACCGCAAACGAGCAGCTCCATGAAGGGTACACACCAACACTTGTATATAGTACCTTTAAGAATAATTGATTCCCTCTAAACCTTGTCACATTTGGCCACATTACAACCATAAGTAAGGGGGATTTTATGTAATAGTTCAACACAAAGGGCGGGGAAGGAAAACGATTCTTGTTTTTGTTTAAGAAACTCACAAGAAACGCAGTTTGCAGTTTGACACAAACATTTCGGGGAACCGGTGGAAGAAATCACCGCGGTCAGAAGAGGAACCTCTCGAAACTCATCATCTACTCTCTTTAACCTGGACGTGGAAGCGGGTTAAAGTTGATGGATACGATGGAGCCAAAATAAAGGGCAATCGTAGACGAAAGGCTCTTACGGGCTACACAAGAATCTAGACTGAAGAGGAACTTGTAGCAGGGAAAAGACTCAAAACATCCAGCCACATCTACAATGTCACGTATTTGTGGCTGGATCAAAGCGTTTTCAGTGCATATGTTAGAATCAAGATCCAAACCTAATTCCAAAGAAAAGACTCTAGTAACGCATAAAAATTTATGCTCACAGATGTTGTCCATGCCAGTCTGAGCTAGCTTTTGGGCACATTTTGCTGAAAAGAATGGGCAATAAAGTGAAGCTCTGGAAGGGGGCAGCTAAGCTTGTACAGATATTTATAAAAGATTTGTGGCTGTAATCAAATTGTGTGTGTTCCACCTCGTCACCAGCCGACTTTCCTGCCAATTTACAACTCAACAAAAGCCAGTGGTGCCAAAAAAGAAAAACATAACAAAATGCAACTTTTAGATTTTGTATTTAGAGAAAAAAAATTTTTACTTCCATTTCACATTCACAATAGACTTTGTTGGTCAGTCAAAAAAAAAAAAAAAAAAAAAATCCCAGTAAGAAAACATGACAGCTTGTGGTTGTAAAATGACCAAATATCAAAACTCTTCAAATGCATTGTTAATATTAACTACTTAAGATTTAATATTTGCAAGGATAAAAGCATGATTTGCTTTTTTTTTTTCTTCTTCAGGACATTTGATGACGACTATGAATCCGAGGAGCTTCAAGTCCCAAGAGAGATTGGGAATAAGATGGAAAAACTGGTCATATCCGACCTGTCGGCATAAGTCTCTTTTCGTGGAATTGCTGGGCGTCTGCGTGTGGGTGAAACATAGGATCTGAATGGGGGGAAAAAAAGGGACTTCCTGGCTTCTCTCAGGAAGGAGTTTATGAATGCGTTTTGTGTATGTACACTTCTGTTTTGCTGCGTGCGTGGCGCGACTATGCATTCGCACACAGGGACAGTACAATATCTCTGCTCTCTGATCCGTTTGAGAAGACAAGACGGTGACGGCGGAGAGAAAAAGAACTGCTTGATAAGCTCGCCGGAGATTGGGAGAAAACTACTTAACTGTAAAAACAAACAAAAAACTTCTTTGTGAATTCTCTACTGACAATCATGCCAAAAGACAATCTGTTTTCTTTGTTTCTTTTTTTAAAAAACGTTTTTACCGTTGCTGTGCCAAAGGTAGATCGACGCAGAGAAACTTTTAGCTGAGAGCTCTTTAAAGTTGTTAAAGCCACTGCCGCTGAGGATCAACAGCGCTCTCCTCCCTGTGACGTACGCGCAGACCCGGCCCTCAGGAACATGCTGCGTGTGCAGTTTGTCACTGCGTTTCTGGTAAAGGAAGTTGTTAACACTTGAGTCCCCTCTGGGAGAGGTCATGTAACAGTTCGGGGACGATCGCAGCACCGTCTCCTCTCTGTGGCCGGTATGGGCTACTGCACGGATCAGAACAACTGGGTTTTTACTTCCCGTGTTGGTGTTGGTGGTCCGGTCACCCCCCCCCCCCAACACCCCAAATCCCTTACTCCTCTCCCTATTTTCTTTCTCCCCG